TAAAATATAATACTTTTAGACTATTCTCTCCCCCATAGACTTCAATGCCGTAAACATATTTCTTAATCCTGATTCCATGTTCTCTGATTCATAAAGTCCAGCTTCTCAAATTATTTGCCCAGCATACAGATTAAATGGGTATGGAAGGAAGACACAGTCCTAATTCACACCTATCTCAATTTTAAAATAGCATTTCCTTGCTCTGTTTGGACAACAGCTTCTTGGTCTATATATTGTTATTGTGTACCATAGAGTTGGAACCAACCCATAGCTGACCCTCCAGTAGGCTTTCAGAAGCAGTGAATCATACAGGAGGAGATTGCTGATCCTTCCCCTGAGGACCTGGTGACCTTGAACAATGTGCCTTCACAACTGCAGTGCAGCTTCTTGCCACTAGGCCATAAGCACATATCCATAATCAAGCATTCTGGAATTCCCATTCTTCTCAATGTTAACCATAACTTGTTATTATCTACACAGTCAAATATTGTTGCATAGGCAATAATACAGAAATAAACATTCTTTTGTTGGTCTCTGCTTTCAGCCAAGATACACTGGATATTAGCAATAACACTCCTAGTGCTATGGGCTCTTCTAAATCCAGCATGAACTTCTAGCAGTTTTCTGTCAATGTACTATCCTAACAATTTTTGGATCCTCTTCAATAATAGTTTGATTGTATATGATATTGTTTGGTAATTTCCACATTCTGTTGAGCGCCTTTTTTCGTGGAATGGAAACATGTATCGATCTCTTCTACTCAGTTAGCAAGGTTGCTGTCTTCCAAATTTTCTGGCACAGAAAATAAAAGGGCTGTCCATGTTAATTGGAACATGTCAACTGGAATCCCAAGAACTCTTGGGACCTTACGTTTTACCAATACCTTCAATACAGCTTGTACTTCCTTCATCATCATTGGCTATCATTTTTTGTCTTTTATCTGTTAATTCCCCTAACAGAGTAGTACTGAATGAGGTGTATTCATTCTCACTAATTCTGCATTCCATTGATGCAATCTTGCTCTTCTGTCCTTACTGTGTGTTATCTGATATTTCAGTCTTAATATTTTATACTTCAACTTATTCCTTTCTATCACTTCTCATCTTCCATTTATTTTGTTGATTTGTTCTTACATTGTTGTTCTTGCTGTGAGTGGCTTTGAGGGTTGGTCTTGGTTTGGTTTTTGTACTTCTTCTAAAGTTTATAACAGGGAGAAAGAATGAGGTCACTTCAATGCTTTTTAAGATCCAAGAGCAATCATTCACTCTTAGAGAACAAAGAGAGCATTGAGTTTTACTATTTTGATTTGAGGCATACCCCATTCATATACACAAATGGAAACTCTAGATTATGATCCCTGTTTTGTGAGTTCTGCCTTGCTAGTGTAGAAGAAGCTTAACAAGGATCCAAAAGTGGATTAAAAACTCCATATGGAAAGGAGTCAATTACAGGCAATATGGACCCTACTTCATAGATAAGAGACCTAATCCAGCCCTTGCTATAAATATGGACATTTCATTCTATTTCAGTTACATACACACTTTTATATCTTGTTATTTGTTAATTTGCATAAAATTTCACTATCTTCCAGGTACTTATTTTAACTCCACCCTCTTCAAGTCTCTTAGTCTTTATAAAACTGACAATACACATACCTTTTCAAGAACTGAAGGACGGGAGATGATATATCTAGCACGAGGTAAAATTTTTCATCACTCATGCATTTTAGCATAACTTGTGTAAAGAACTCCAGGAACCTAGGTCTCTGCTTAAATTTCATAACTGTAAAAAGGAAGAATTTTGCAGTTAGCAATAGAATTTTGCTACCAAAAGGTTACTACTGTTAATAGTTATTTGTTCCAAAAGGTAAGAACTTGCTTTTCACATTTCTCACATTATACACAACACACACACATAGAAGTAAGTGTTATATTAATTCTTTTTATGAGCTCAAGTATTTCTTTATGTTTATTTTATTAAATTTATGCTCCAAACATTTCAATGTTGAAAAAGTTTTCTCAAATATGGCCTCTGAAATATATTGATAATTCTTAGAAGTAACTATTCTAACTTATATTTCACTATGGCTTAAAAATTATGTTACTATTTTCTTCATGTTGTTGTTGTGTACCATAGAGGCGAACTGATCCATAGCTGAGCCTCTGGTGGGTTTTCAGAAGCAGTTAATCACACAGGAGGAGACTGCCTATCCTTCCACAAAGCAGCTGGTGGCATTGAACATTTGGGATTGCAACACAGCTTCTTGCCACTAGGCCACCAAAGCTCCCTATTTTAAAGATCCCTAATATATTTTCCAATGTACTGGTTTTCCTAAGTTCCATTCATTATAACTTTGTCACCTACAAAAAAATAAAAGCTATAACCAAAGTTTGTATCTTTCCAGACATTCAATTAGGTAGCCATTTGGGGCTGTTTCATCACTTGGCAACAGGATTCTGCATTACTTGAGGGGGTGAGAGTGAATGAAACAAAACCCCTCACTGTCATGGAGTCAGAACTGAACTGACTGAGGGCTGACCTGGCAGCAGAGCTTCGGTCTATAAATCATATGGGAGGAGAATAATTCCCATCTTTCTTCCACAGAGCAGCTGGTGGGTTTGAACCATGTGACTTTGAGTTGGCAGTGCAACTCCTTACCAACTAGAACCCCAAACCTTACAAATGGGAAAGGTGACATTTTTAAGCTGATAGCAACAGTAACAAAGTTCATAGTATTATTTATGTTCAGCAGTAAGTCAAATAAACCAAACATACACATTTAGGTTACTCACCTTCCTTCACAGAGTTTTTGACTGCCCAGTTTAAAACTACTGGATAGAGAAATATAGGGTCCTCTTTTCCTGTTAGTTCCATTGTAATAGCTAAGATTTAAAAAAACGAAATAAGTTTTAAGTTCTTTGTGAAGTAAATAACTCAAACTAAAATTATTTTTGGGGGGGTGAAAAAATAAGAAGATATTCAAGTATTTATTCTAAATTATGTACCATAAAACATTCTTTATATTATTACTATGGTAATAAAAAAATATCCAACAATCTCAATTTCTTTTCTGCCATTTCTACTTAAAAGCCAGGGAGTCTACCATCAAATAGGTGGAGAATTTAGAGGATTAATATTCTCTCATGTTCACTAAGCAACCAAGTAGACCCAAACTCAAAAAGTTCTCATTATTGTTGAGCTGGAAGCAATTCACAGTTGACTCTCCATTGGATTTCTGAGGCTGTAAACCACATGAGAGATGACAGCCTCTCTTTCTCCCAGGGAGCTGTATGGTGGGTTTGAACAAACAGAAAGGCTCAGCCTTTTAATTCCCTATGGACTTGCCACCAAAGCATTCTAAACATGCTCAAGAACATACCAATAATAATGAACTCACATTAATTAGTTACTAGGTCTTTGGAAATTTCTCAGTTTCTCTGTACCTCAGTGTCATGATTAAAATTAGAGAAGTAATAGCACCTTTCTAAAAAGGTTTTTATATATGAGTTCTATGAATCTTAAATGTATTAAACATATACAGTAATGCCTATAACACAGAAAGCACTGCACAAAATTAATCTGTTGCTGTTGAATCCATAGTTTGACTAGTAACTTTACATTGTTCTGGGTAAATGTTCTTTTTTAAACTGATACTGTCAAAATTAACAATCCAAATAATACTTTACATTTTCAGGATTTATATTTTAAAAAAATATTTAGCAAGACAATTGCAGCTTTCTTAAAACTGAAGTTTACAGGGGAGCTTTAGTGTCCTAGTGGCAAGAAGCTGTACTACAATCCCAAAGGTACATGGTTCGAATCCAACAGATGCTCTGCCGGAGAAGAAAGGACAATTTCCTCCTGTACCAGTCAGATCTGATTTGACGGTACATGCACACAAAAAAAATAAAATTAAATTTTAAAAAAAACACAAACTAAAGTTTACTAAAAACTGATTATGGGAATAATAGATCATTGAATTCAACTAATAATTCTGTTGGAAACAGTAATGAAGCATACTGAAAAGAAGCAAAGACCTCAAACTCATTGTTATTGGGGCAGAAACAACTCATAGCTGACCCTCCAATAAATTTTTGAAGACTGTAAAGAATACAGAAGACTCCCCATCTTTCTCCCTCAGAGCAGCCCTTAGATTCGAACTATCTACCTTTGTTTGGAAGCCCAACTCTACCAACTAAACCACCAGAACTCCTCACTAAAAGGGAGAGAGAGATTCAAATTAAAGAATCTGAAACCGTCAGGCCACCAATATATGGCTAACACATACAGCAGGAGCAGTAAAATGGGGCAAAGAATTCTACATGTGTGGTTCCTCCCATAAACTTTAACGTCAACTGGAATCTCCTAGCTGAGAAAAATTTGGACTCTCTTGGTCTAGAACCAGTCTTTGGAGAGAGCTATTATGCTAGAAAAGTTTAAATGAAAGAGAGGAAGACCTTCAAAAAGATAGACTGTCACAGTGACTGCCACAATTGGCTTGAGCAGGACAGAGGTCGTGGGGTCGGCACAGGGTAGGGGGCAAGGTTCAGATCTGTTCTTCATAGTGTTATTATGAGCAGTCATCTCGATAGCACCTAATCACAACAACAACAACAACTTGCTTATAAGATCTGGAGTATTTGCTTTTTTAAAATGTGATACTTTTTCTAAAGTTTTCTAAACTTCAAAATTCCAATTATTATGCTAACGTATTAGTCCATTATGAAATTACTATAGAACAATGACTTAAAATTAAACATGATCTCTAGAGTAAACTGTAATTCAAACCATTAATCTATTAACATTCTGCAAGCTGTCTTTTTATTCCTCAGCTATACTTTTTTAAAAAAATTATCTTATACTGGTTTTACAAAGCCTCTATTTCACTATTGCCTTTAGCACAGTGATTGCCAACCAGAGGACATCTCCAACATCTAAGACATTTGAAACATTTATCTCCAAATTACAACAGGTGGTTGTCACAGATAGGTAAAAAGGTGCTGCTGACTTCTAGTACACCGAGATGAAGGATACTTCCCAAATCCCACAATATCCAGGGCAATCTCTCACATAAGGAATTATCTGGTCCCAAATGGCAAGAGTGCCAAGGTTGAAAAATCCCACATTAGATTCAGAAAACTTGAGACCTAACCCAAACCAACTGTGTAAGTCTCAATTAATAACATAATCTTCATAAACCATAACTGTAAGATAGTTAATGATTCCTTAATAACAGGGCACTGTTGAGTTTCACGGGATAATGTAAAAGCACTTTGTAACCCTTCATAGGACTCACAGAATGCTGACCTCATTGTAATCCTTTAGACAAAATATTTCCTAATTCTAGCAAACATAAGACTAAACAAAAGTAGAGCAAAAACAAAATAACTACATGGCTTTGTCAGTTTGAGTAGGTGTGTCTCCAGCAAGGTCAGCTGTTCACTTATTTTTTCAGGCATTAGTACTGGCTGCGGCTTCTTACTCTTTGAAGACTTCTTAGAAGAACCCTAGAAACATAGGTTAAATGACAATACACTTTTAAAAAATTGAAACTATTGCCATTTTTAACAATATTTTTAAAACTTATGGTTTTTGCGGTTATATTTGATAGGCAACATGGTCAATGAACTAAACCATACTAAATAATAATTGACATAATAGCAATGAATCTGAACTGATGCCAGGCATAGTACCAAGGATTGTAGGAACTTTTAACAAGACATCACTTGTTACACCTCTACCTTCTTCCCAGTAATTTCCCAGCCACCTGCAACACACACTCATCTTAAAGCAGCTTGGCACAGACTGAAAAATATATAAAAGAACATTCCTAGCCAGTTCTCAGAAATAAAGCCATTTCCCCCCCTTTTTCCAAGAAGGTCTTTAAAAAAAAATAACCAAGTTAATTGCCTTTGCTACTGTGCTTTTCATGGAAGCATAATAGGATCAATAATTAGTGGATTAAGCATCGGCGTGTCTGTACTCAGGCTCTCCACAATATTTTCAACAACCAGTAGCCTGAAAATTGGCCAGTTAGTATCTCTTGTTCTCTGAAAAACTCTGCTCTGTGCTTTTGTCCTTATAGGGCCTGTTAGCAGCTATGATGATTTCTTATTCCTATACATTAAGCATTAGCTTCTTTATTTCCTACAGTCTTAGTCGAAAGGAAGCATCACAGCTTTCTGCTGTACTAAAAGCCACCCAGACACGGAGAAGCAGGACCCTAAGTCAGAATCTGAGTGAACTAAAGGGCTGGTTAATGAATTTGAGAGTAAAGACGACTTAGTGAACACAACCTCAAGCTGTTCCCTTTTGATAAAAAAAAAATCTCTGGACAAAATGGCAAAGTAGTTCATCCACTAAAGCAATTGTGATTTTCAAAATATTTTGTGGCAAACAAATGTTTCTTTGGGAACGGAACACGTAATAAACATAGAAGTGGAATTCCTCCAACTGAAATGGGGTCAGGGATGAGACTGAGTCTCTTTCTCCACTTCCGTCACTGAAGGGTTTGAAGGAATTCTTAGTGTTCCTCAGAAACCCAATAAACTAACATTTTCAAATTTCAGCTACAAAAAAACCCCAATAAACAAAAACCCCACTTAACGGCACAGTTTCAAGGAAAGGCAATATACACCACAGCTTCTAGTAAGACTTCTGCTTGGGCAACAGGTATTTTAAGTTTCAGAAGCGAGCAGATTTACAAACAAGACAGTTTAGGTATTAAGAGTTTCTAAAATCTACTTTCAATACAGAGTAAAAAGCGCAGACATCTCCTCATTTTCTTGACTATTCTAGAAGAATGGGGGGAAGAGGCTGAGAAGGCTGAGTGCAGGGAATGAAGAAGGTTGTCTTCGCTATATTGCTTTTCTCATACAATAATACAGAAAAACTGTTAATTACCTATTTTCTCACAGATGTAAGAACATTACGTCATTTCTGAAAGAGTAAACTAAACAGATGTTTCAAGCTGAGAAGCAGGTCAGTTACCTCATCCTGTGGCTCCTCTTCATTCTGAGTACCAAATAGGGACTTGCACTTCGATGTCACGTCCAACATCTTTTTTCCATAATTTACAATTGCTACTGCTAAGTCATATTCCTTCCATGACCGCAGAATCTAAGTAAAAATATTAATTCATTATCTCTGTTGGATACTCTTATCTCATTTCAAGTATCATGCATCACCTCTTATTAATTCAAAAGTCTTATAAACGTTTTGAGTCTAAGACCACTGTTTTTTGTTAAGGAAACAGCAAGTTTATCTCTAGATCACATTTCTCAAGACCTGAAGCTGGACACTGATTAAGGATGACAGTCAAAGAATCGATGCCTTTGAGTTATGGTGTTGGAGAAGAGTGAATGCTGCGCGGGCTGCCAAAAACCAACTATATCTAGGAGAAGGTGCAGTCAGGGTACTCCATAGAGGCAAGGATTATGAAGATCTGTCTCACATACTTCAGGCATGTGGTTAAAGGAAATCAGTCCTTTAAAAATGACCCCAGGCTTGGAAAGGTGGAGAGTCAGCAGAAGAGAAGAAGATCCTAACTGAGATTGATTAACACAGTAGCTGGAGCAATTGGCTGGAGTCTTGTGGAGCTGGTGAGGATGGCGCAGGGTTCAGGTCTGCTGTACACAGGGTCACTGTGAGTTGTGGTTGACTGCACAGCACCCAACAACAACAGCAACAAAAGTGCATGATTGTACTATTGCTGTTTGGCACCATCGGGTTGATTTCAGCTCACTGTGAACCCCTAGGGGAGGGGAGAATTGTCCAGAGGGTTTCCAAGCTGTAATCTTTACAAAAAAAGGATACTGCACCTCTCTCCTACAGAACAACTGGTTCCACTACTTTAAACAAAACCATGGAATTCTGGAGACCTAGTGCATAAGGAGTTGTGCTGTCAACTAAAAGGCAAGTGGTTTAAATTCACCCACTGTGCTGAAGGATGAAGATGAACAATCGCCTCTCATCAATTTACAGCCTCTGAAAACCTGCTGGAGCGTCAGCTTTAAGGTGGTTGGTTCCTCATCGATGGCAATGAGACAGAAAGATTTTAGATAAAATACTACTAACAAGGTCTCATCAACTTTTTCATTAATCTGGGTCATACTGCAATTCCATATTTTGGCATAGTAAATTACTTAACCATAGTTAACTGTCATTTTGTTTTATCCCTGAAGAGTAATTTCCATATGTAATCTTCCAAAATAATAATTCACATATGAATTCTGAACTCATGATGTTTCAAGACGTGATAGCATACCACAGCTGAATGACTTCACAGCCCCCACCTTATTTGTAGATTTTCTTTGTCATTTGCCTATGTCCAGCAGTGAGGAATTTTGTTTTGTGTTGTTTTGAAATAATTTTTTATTTTATACTAGTTTACTTGCAAAGTTCATATACCTTGCTTTTCAGATGATTTTTGCTTCCTTGATGTTGAGGTGTGGTCCATATTGAAAGCTGCAGTGTTTAACCTTCTACAGCAAGTGCTTCAAGTTCTCATCTTGCCCCATGTTACTGATGCCATATTTTTTCCCAAAGAGCCCAGATTCCCGAATACTTTGCTCAGCATATAGATTAAATAGGTATGGAGAAAGGATACAATTCTGGTGTACATCTCTCCTAAGATTAAACCATGCAGTATTCCCCTGCTCTGTATGAACAACAGCCTCTTGGTCTAGGTATAGGTTTCACACGAGCACAATCAAGTGATCTGGAATTCCCATTCTTCTCAAGGTTAGCCATAAGTTTTTATGATCCATGCAGTCAAGTGTCTTTGCATAAAGCACACATAGACCTTCTTTTGGTATTCTTTGCTTTCAGACAGGATCCATCTGACATCAGCAATGATATATATATTAGGTGCCATGGCCTCTTCTAAATATAGCATGAATGTTTGGCAGTTTTCTATATATGTAGTGTTCTAGCCATTTATGAATTATCCTCAGCAGTATTTTGTTTGCATATGATATTAATTATATTGTTCAAGAATGTCCACATTCTGGTGAACCATCTTTCTTGGGAACGGGTTCATTACCATATAATTTCATTACCTTTTTCTTTGTATTTCTAAAATTTTTTCTCTTGTCACCTAAAGTTTACCCTAACCTCAAGTTTCATACAAATAACTCAAATTACCTGAAATTTATTTATGGTGTGAAGTAGAACTGTGATATTTTTTCTTTCAGATGCATGGTCATTTATACCAACATCTTTTATTAATTGAACCAATAAAATAAATACAACTAATTCAAACTTTGCTTTATCATCTATTGAATTTTTCAATAGGCTTACTGAAACTGAGGAGGACCTGAGGCACTTGTTGCAGAAAGTCAAGGACTAGTGTCTTTAACACGGATTAAAGCTCAACATCAAGAAACCAAAGATTCTCACCACTAGACCAAATGGCAGCACCATGATAGATAGAGAAGAGATTGAGATTGTTAACAATTACAGCTTGTTTGGCTCTACAATCAACACCCATGGCACCAGCAGTCAGGAAATCAAAAGACAAATTGCATTGGGAAAATCTGCTGTCAGGGACCACTCCAGAATATTGAGAAGCAATTATATCAGTCTAGAGAGTAAAGAGTGCCTGATCTAGGCTATGGTCTTCATGATTGCTTGCTATACATCAGAGAGCTGGACAATAACTAAGGATGAAAGAAGAAAAATCAATGTCATTGAGTTGTGATACTGGAGAAGAGTTTTGAACATACCAAGGACTGCCAAGAAAACAAATAAGTTTGTCTTGGAGAAGGTGAAACCAAGTTTCTCCTTTAAGGCTAGGATTTTGAAGCTCTGTCTCACAAACTCTGGCCATGTGGTCAGGAGGGATACGTTCTTGGAGAAGGACATCATGCTTGGAAGGGTAGAAGGACAGTACAGGTGAGGAAGACTCCAATGAGATGGATTGATACAGTAACTGAGGTAATGGGGGTAGGTGTGTCGGAGTCAGTAAGACTGACTCAGGATAGGGCAGGCTTCTGCTGTACATAGTGTTGCTTTTGGCCACAGGTGACTTGACAGTACACAACAACATACTATGGGCAATCTCCAGGTTACAAATTCCATTCCTAAGTATGTCTTCAAGTTCAATTTGTACATAAGTTTGAACAGTTAGGTACAGGTTGTAGTTAATATCAGTTAGCCAATTGTTGATGTTGTTGCTATTGTTAAGTGCCATTGAGTAAACTATGACTGATAACAACCCTATGAATAATAGATTCGAATCCTGCCTTATCCTATGCCATCCTGACCATCTCTGGCATTTAGTGAACTTCACTAACCAGGTTCTTCTTCTCTTTCACTTTCCCTCCACCTTTCCAAGCAAGATGTCCTTTTCTAAAGATGGGCTCCTCCTAACAGCATGACCAAAGTATGTGAGATGAAGTTTCACTATTCTTGACTCCAAGAAGCACACTGTCTGTACTTTTTCCAAGACATATTTGTTTGTCCTTTTGGCAGTCCATGCTATATTCAGTCTCTTCTCCAACACTACAACTCAAAGCCATCAATTATTCTTCTAACACCCTTTATCCATTTGTCCAACTTTCAGCTGCACAGCAAGTATCTTAAAAAATTATTGTTTCCAAGTGGGATTCATAACAGGTATGCAAGGATGGATCAACATTGGAAATACAATCAACAAATTCACTATATTGATGTACAAAAGGCATTTGACAAAATCCAACACTCCTTCCTGGTAAAGACACTCAGAAAATTGGAATTCAGAAGGGAATTTCCTCAACATAGTGAAAAGTATATCTGAAAAACCAAGAGCCAACATTATTCTCAATGGAGAAAGACTAAAAGCATTTTCCTTATGAATAAGGACTAGACAAGGATGCCCACTCTCACCACTTATATTTAATATTGTACTGGAAGTGCTTGTTAGGGCAATACAAGAGAAGGAAATAAAAGGCATCCAGATTGGCAAAGAGATAGTTAAACTATTGCTACATGAAGATGATATGATAGTCTACACAGAAAACACCAAGGACTCAACACTAACAACAAAAAAAAGCTGTTAGAGCTAGTAGACCAATTTAATAGACTGGCAGGATATAAGATCAATATCCAAAAATCAATGGAATTCCTTGACAGTAACAAAGAGAACTCAGAAAAGGAAATCAATAAATCAATAGTATTTATAATAGCCAACCACAAATTTAGATACTTGAGAGTGAACCTAACTAGAGGCACAAAAGACCTATAGAAGCAAACTACAGAACATTTCTGCAAGACACAATAAAAACCTAAAGAAATGGAAAAATGTGCCCTGTTCATGGATAAGGAGATTCAATATCGTAAAAATGACAATCCTACCAAAACCAATCTACACGTTCAGCATAATCCCAATACATATACCAAATTCATTTCTCAAGGAGATAGAAAGGGAAATTGCCAAGTTTTTTGGAGAGGAAAGAGACTCCGAAACAGCAAAGCACTTCTGAAAAACAAAATGAAGTGGGAGGCATAGCACTCCCTGACCTCAAAACCTGCTACACAGCAACAATGACAAACACAGCATGATACTGGTACAATGAAAGGAACATATACCAATGGAACAGAACTGAGAACTTAGAAATAGACCCCTCTATCTATGGTCAACTGATATAAATAAAGGAATAAAAATATAAATAAAGGATAAATAAATATAAGTAAAGGATATAAACAAGCAAAGAAAACCCATTAAATGTGGAAATGACAATCTCTTCAACAAATGGTGCTGGCAAAATTGGACTGCTACCTGAAGAAAGATGAAACAGGATCCACATCTCACACTATATAAAAAAAATCAACTCAAGGTGGATCAGAGACCTGGGAGTAAAGCCCCAAACCATAAAGCTCATCAGAGAAAAACTAGGATCAGGCCTAGACAGCCTAGTCTATGCTATAAAGAGATTGCCGAGTACAGTCAGAAATGTACAACTGAGAAAGGATAAAATTGATGAATGGAACCTTCTAAAGATTATCTCTGTGTGTATCAAAAACATTTTCCAACAGAGTTAAAAGAAAACTTACTGATTGTGGGTGCGGGGGGACCCATTTGGAAATGCCATTTCAGACAAGGGTCTCATATCAAAAGCTTTATCGACTACTACAGGGCC